CTCAGCCCCACCAGGATGCAGCCAGTGGTGGCCCAGAGCGAGCAGATCCCCAACCTGGAGGAGCTGCTCCGCATCCGAGCAGAGATCCCCCGGGCCCTGAAGCGGCGGGGCTCCCAGGATCCTTCCAAGCCACTGAAGAGTGCCTCCCACTACCAGCCCAACCAGTACAAAAACCTAATTGACAAGCTTTTCCGCAAGAAGGCCCACCGTCAGAAGGGGGAGAAGGGGAGTGATACCAGCAGCTCCTCAGAAGAAGAGGACTTCGCTACACCTCCTGCACATCTACCTGCAGCCACGATGCAGCAAGATCTCAGAGTAAGAAAAGGGTTAGAGCGACTGAGGATGTTATAGTCTCTGGACAAGTAGAACTATGTAAATTGTCTTTAGAAATGCCTAATTAATTATGTAAGGGACAACATGCAATGCGCTTGTCATTATTATGAGCAGAACCTAGTATAGCTTCCACTAAGAACATAGACCGTGCTAAAGTGTATCAACGGCTTAACTGCCGCGATAACAACCTAACTTAAAAATGTATTCTTTAAGCACTACCAGAGCCTACATGTATAAGTGTTTACTCCCCGTCTGTCTGTCTTCTTCTGCTGTTCCCTTTAGTGTTAACTTCCCGTCTGTCTTCTTCTGCTGTTCCCTTTAGTGTCTATTTCCTGTCTGTCTTCTTCTGCTGTTCCCTTCAGTGTTAACTTCCTGTCGCTCTTCTTCTGCTGTTCCCTTTAGTGTCTACTTCCTGTCTGTCTTCTTCTGCTGTTCCCTTTAGTGTTAACTTCCTGTTACTCTTCTTCTGCTGTTCCCTATAGTGTTAACTTCCTGTCTGTCTCCTTCTGCTGTTCCCTTTAGTGTTAACTTCCCGTCTGCCTTCTTCTGCTGTTCCCTTTAGTGTTAACTTCCCGTCTGCCTTCTTCTGCTGTTCCCTTTAGTGTTAACTTCCCGTCTGTCTTCTTCTGCTGTTCCCTTTAGTGTTAACTTCCCTTCTGTCTTCTTCTGCTGTTCCCTTTAGTGTCTACTTCCTGTCTGTCTTCTTCTGCTGTTCCCTTTAGTGTTAACTTCCTGTCGCTCTTCTTCTGATGTTCCCTTTAGTGTTAACTTCCTGTCTGTCTTCTTCTGCTGTTCCCTTTAGTGTTAACTTCCTGTCGCTCTTCTTCTGCTGTTCCCTTTAGTGTTAACTTCCTGTCTGTCTCCTTCTGCTGTTCCCTTTAGTGTTAACTTCCCGTCTGTCTCCTTCAGCTGTTCCCATTAGTGTTAACTTCCCGTCTGCCTTATTCTGCTGTTCCCTTTAGTGTTAACTTCCTGTCTGTCTTCTTCTGCTGTTCCCTTTAGTGTTAACTTCCTGTCTGTCTCCTTCTGCTGTTCCCTTTAGTGTTAACTTCCCGTCTGTCTCCTTCTGCTGTTCCCATTAGTGTTAACTTCCCGTCTGCCTTCTTCTGCTGTTCCCTTTAGTGTTAACTTCCTGTCTGTCTCCTTCTGCTGTTCCCTTTAGTGTTAACTTCCTGTCTGTCTCCTTCTGCTGTTCCCTTTAGTGTTAACTTCCCGTCTGTCTTCTTCTGTTGTTCCCTTTAGTGTCTACTTCCTGTCTGTCTTCTTCTGCTGTTCCCTTCAGTGTTAACTTCCTGTCGCTCTTCTTCTGCTGTTCCCTTTAGTGTCTACTTCCTGTCTGTCTTCTTCTGCTGTTCCCTTTAGTGTTAACTTCCTGTCTGTCTCCTTCTGCTGTTCCCTTTAGTGTTAACTTCCCGTCTTTCTTCTTCTGCTGTTCCCTTTAGTGTTAACTTCCCGTCTGTCTTCTTCTGTTGTTCCCTTTAGTGTTAACTTCCCTTCTGTCTTCTTCTGCTGTTCCCTTTAGTGTCTACTTCCTGTCTGTCTTCTTCTGCTGTTCCCTTTAGTGTTAACTTCCTGTCGCTCTTCTTCTGCTGTTCCCTTTAGTGTCTACTTCCTGTCTGTCTTCTTCTGCTGTTCCCTTTAGTGTTAACTTCCCGTCTGTCTCCTTCTGCTGTTCCCTTTAGTGTTAACTTCCTGTCGCTCTTCTTCTGCTGTTCCCTTTAGTGTTAACTTCCTGTCTGTCTTTTTCTGCTGATTTCTCTGTCCCACAGCTCTCTAAGTCTTTAAACTCTTTCTCTCTCTTGCGCTGTTTTGTTGTTATTCTTTATTTTCTTGTTTCAAGCTCTTCACACATATAACGTATGATGGAGGAACTGAAAAACTATGGTGTTGACGTTAAACGTATCATACTTCTTTTTACGGATTAATATTACTGCACAAAGTCACTTGATCAGTGATCCTTACCAACAGTCTGCTATCGAAAAAAATCAGACAGCTGAATGTCCAAATTGCCCAATCAGAATCCAGTTCTTAAATAATCCTGAAATAATGTGCTTTCTACACTGTGTAATGGCATTTAAACATGCTAGTGGACTTACATTGCAATAATTATCAATAAAAACAGCATATTTTGTATTAGGTTCTGAAACCCTTGTGATTGATGATCTCTTCCTTTTGTTTCTCTCTCCAGCTCTACCATTCCATCCTGCGGCGACCCAAGCACAAGAGTTCTGGGAGGCGAGCCCGCCTCAGCCCGCTGGTCCTGCTGCTGGACGGGTCGCTGGTCGGAGAACTGGAGACGGTGCAGAAGGCCGTGCAGGAGGTGTGTGTGTAAATGAATATGCCTGATTGTAAATACTGCAACTTGAACTACTCTGCTGCTACTATTACTCACAGTTATACCTCACATCTACCCAATATATTAAATTCATTGCAACAAACATAGCTGATTCAGGAAAAAACAACAATTAGACATGTCTCACTTGAACTTAAACACAATCGCAGGAAACATATTGGTGCTTATTCTACATATGCGGAATTATTTTCTTGAACAAACTTCTTCAAACCAGTGGGAACTAAGAAAGCAAATTCTAGTGCAAAAATTGGTGCTCCAGTTCTGGATTTCAACTTTAGGAAGCCCTTAAGAATATGTGATATTTATATTTCGGCAATGTTTGCTGACTCTGCTTTCATTTTCTTTTGACACCTCCCTGCTGCTTCTTATTTATACAGAAATACATTCGACTGAGAGTCACTCGCAGTACAACAGCTATACTTCTATTTGAGCAAGTTGGGGGTTAGGAGCAAGTCATTTTGAAACCAGGATAAAGTCAGTAACAATAGAGAGAGGCTGATGAGAAATGTTTTCCATAGATGAGCGACCCCAGCCAACCCAACGATGAAGGCATCACCGCCCTTCACAATGGCATCTGCGGCGGCCATTACAACGTGGTGGACTTCCTGGTTCGTATTGGAGCCAATGTCAGCGCTCCAGACAGTCACGGCTGGTAAATATCTGGACATTATTTAACATCTATTTCCTGTCTCCAGTGGTGGAACGTACATTTATTCTAGTAGAATAGAATAGAATAGAAAGGAATATAATTTAAAAAATGTATTGTCATTGCACCAGGTACAACGAAATAAAAAAAGCCTGTCATGCCCATATCAACAACAAGTCAAATAAAGAAGTGCAGTAGCTATTTGTCTGTAACTGTGTGTGTTGTAGTGCTGTAGTACAGTAGTTAAGAACAAATTCCAGGTAATGAACTATTCATGTATTCACATTTTACGCTACTTCTTCTACTACTAGGTTTGTTCCTCTTGCAAAAATACTGTTCACCTTGCGTTCACCAATTCTACTGTGTATTTTACACATTTCTGTTCAAAGCCACGTTATTTCATTTGTCTATCATGTTTGATCCTTTTAACAACCTTTTTTCCTCCTCATGTATGCAACATTATTTAGTCAAGAATCAGAATACTACAAAAATGTATCCTGAGGGAAATTGGGTTTTGTGACTGTTGTTCATTTTAGAAAAGAACAATACAAAAAAAAGATTAAAATATGTAAAGATAAAAGTTTGAGTAAAATCTCCAAAAACTATAAAATTAATTTAGAAAAGAAACAAATATTTATATAAACATAAGAAGTTGAAGTTAAAATGTGCACATCATACTGCAAATATAACATTCGGTATATTACAATATATACAGTGTTGGATTAGTATTGAAACGATATATATAAATAGCACACTTTAAAGGGGTTTAGCTGCTGATGGTGAAGTCTGGCGCTCTGTAGGGCACCTTTGTGAAATTAGTCTTCCACTATGGCGACTTTTGGAGTCATGGAGTAGGTGGGAGACATTGTCCAAGATGACAAAATGTGTCTCAGCTATCTCCTGCATGTATTGACTGCCATCTCTCTGTCCCCCAGGACCCCGCTGCACTGCGCCGCCTCGTGTAACGACCGGCCCCTGTGTGAGTTCCTGGTGAGGAACGGAGCGGCGGTCATGGCCATGACGGAGAGCGACAGCGCCACCTCCTCCCAGAAGTGTGATCCTTACGCTGTCAGCTATGAAGAGTGTGAGACCTTCCTTAGAGGTGAGGCAATAACACCTACACTCACACAGACACACACCCTGTGACACAGCACTATGAAATACTAAACGTCAAACATCATAGAATGAATCATAAAGAGACATCATCTGACAGTTACTGGGCTCTGACCTTTCCAGCTGCTTGGTAAATATGACAGTTGAGTTTAGTCTCAAATATATCAATTATAGCTGATGCTGAAATACCCATCATAAACTTTATATTAATGACCCTCAACAGGACACAGTGTGATCAATGTTTACACTTTATTCTTATTTAGCAAATATTTGGTGTCCTAGTATTTGCATCCTATATAAAATAAAGCCTTTAAAAAACATAAATATTGCTTGTGTTCACTGGCAGGCTTTTTATGTAAGAAAATTAAATAGCTACACCGATTGAGGTTTTTTCAAAAAACAGTTTTCTTGCTTTGGTCAAGAAACATCACTCGTCTCCCTGTTTATTTGTACGGATTTACCCATGGTAAATTAAGAATACTAAGTTACAAGTAAAAGCCTGCATTCAAAATTGTACTTACATTAAGTAAAAGTAAAAAAGTTCAGTTCCAACAGTAAACTTTCTCAATATATTTTTTATATATATTGAAATACAGTATGTTTAGCTTGTATTAATAACATTAATCCGAAATGTAAATACATATGTAAAATAAATTACGTTGCGCGTGTCATTCCCTTTCAACTCTGTCTCTCCCAAAAATGATCCTAAAAATAAATGCATGTTGCTCCTGTCTCTCCTGTGACACCAGGGGTGGAGGAGGCCATGGGCACGGAGAACAGCGGGGTGCTGTACGCTCTGTGGAGCTACCCGGCTCAGCTAGCCGATGAGCTGAGCTTCAAAGAGGCCGACATGGTCACCATCCTGCAGAGACCTGAGGGGTCCGACTGGTGGTGGGCCTCGCTCTGTGGCAGGGAGGGCTTCGTTCCAAACAACTACTTTGGGGTAAGATGGCAATTCTGTTTTTTACAGACATGTCAATTTGAACATAGCATTTTCAGTACAAGATAATTGGTCTATATTATAATCTTTCAAAGAAAGAAAAATATCCACTCTTCCACCCATTATTGGTCATGGTCACAACATGTAATGAAAGCAAATAACTACTACAAACAGCAATTAAATACTCAATCAATTAAAACATTAAAAAACAACAATTAACTAAAGTAGAAAACAATATTGTAGTCAACATGGGAGAAATATAAAAGACAAAGTAATATGCTGAAAAGGAACATGGGGAAGGAAGAGTGTGGGTCTCTCTCTCCATTCAGTGAGCTACCTCGGATGAGTATCCAGGTTTTGTGAAAGGATTTCTGAGATCATTTTAGTGAGAATCTTTTCAAGTTGAATGCATGGAGCTCCTGTATCCACCTGTCATATGTCGGGGGGAGGTATGTTTCCATTTAAGAAGGATGGAGCTTCTTGCCAGCAGGGTTGTGAAAGCGATGACACACTGAGTCGTAGTGGGCACACTCTGAATTGGGGGACACAGAATAAAGCAGCCAGGGGGTTAGGGGCTACAATTATGTTGAGGGCCTGTTCAATAGTTTTAAAATGATTGGACCAGAAGACAGTTTGATGGGACAGGACCAAGGTCGGCCGGGGACTGTTTTCAGGCACTAAAGGCATCGCTGTCGTGGAAATAGCACCTTGCACTGCCAGACACCAATTCATAAACAATATTAAGACTTTAGCTCTGAATTCTCTCGCCATAATGCAGAACCATTACGAATAATAATTAACATTAGATTACATTTTATTTAGTTGTTGCTTTTATCGAGAGTGACTCACAATAAATGCATTCAACAATGAAGATACAAACTCCAAAAATAATAAATCCTGATAGTTCATAAGACTTCTCAAACCACTGGACGATTACTGCATTAGCTTCAAATAAATCAAAGCAACGTACGTACAGAAGTGAGAATAGTTAGCCAAATTGGAGAATTGTTGTGGAGGGTTATTTCTGTTGGCAGGATTGATTTCCTGTATCATATCAGAAAACTTTAATCGTTTTTTTTTCTTGTTTTCAGCTCTTCCCGAAGGTCCGACCTAAATCTCTCTGCTAAGCTGACCACGGTCAAACTGGTGCAGAGGACTGTCTTGTAAAAGATTAAAGGGATAGTGGAAATCCGCGAATTTTGGGTTTAACTTATGTATTTTTATTAAAAATAAGCATAATAAACAATTTTTTTTAATTTCATGCGCCTAGTTTCATTTTATTTTCAATTTTACTGCGCCCTCTCAATGAAACGAAATACTTCGGGAATCGTCGGGAATCTTCGGGTGATGACGAGAGCATAGGAAGACGGGCACAAACAATGGCGGACATTCAATAGCATTTGCATGTGAATAGCCGACCTTTATTATGGTACCGAGTATATTGCCATAAATATGATGATTGATTATCAGTAAAAAATTCTACGTGACACAACGACATTGGATTAACCTTGAGATGCGTTTTTATTCCGTTGAACACAACTTTTGATCAAAATCAAAAAAGGTAAGACGTAATTATTGTAATATTTTTGGAACCGGATGTTGTTTACTTTCTCTTTTCTGGCTGATAGCTCCAGGAATTTGAGGTCTTACAGTGATGACATTACATGTGTGGAATCTGTGGAGTCTCAGCTTTAAATCGTATATCTTGTTTGTGCAGTTAAGATAGTAATAAGGGCATTTCTACCGTGTGTTGTGTGTAAAAAAGCGTTAGCATTAGTTAGCATTGTTTCGCTCAATGCTAATTCAAAGGGTTGGTATTACTCTTGTGTTTTTTCTAGCTAACAATTGTTCTTATTGTCAGTTAGCAGAGTTTCTTACCTTTAAAAGGGTATGAAACATTAATAGTTTCATAAATGTTAAGAAGCCCTGAGACATGTGAGAGAAAAAAAACTGTGGGAGGGGTCCACTGGGGGGACCTTCGGGCTTAACTGGTTAACAATGATTAATATTTGTAAAGGCTTCAGGTGATCTTAAGATGCGTGAGCTATGCTTAGGGACCTACCAGTCAAGATTATTTGTGCGTAGGGGTGCATCATCTGGCGCCTGGTCCTGGTCATCCTCGCCATTGCCCATGCCGTGAACCATCACCTCGGGCTCGGGCTCGAACAAATAAGGACGTAATGGTCCATCGTCTGGCTCAATATTGTCACCATCGTCGCTTACTGAACCGGATTCAGATTCAGTTCCTAAAACGACATTTTCGTAGGAAAGCCGAGAGGATGTTTCTGACTCGCTATCATCACTGGATACCTCGTACAATCCTTCTTCTTTGTCTGGTATATTTGCCCTTCCACGTTCATTCTGCATAGACGCCATGGTTTGTTATCGTATCGTCTTCCTAAGTTTTCGTCACTTCCGGTTTGGCTGAGTCGAACATTTCGTTTCTAAAAAACTTCGGGGAAGCTGCAATAAAGTGCTTCTAACATGCGTAAGGCAATTATTATATTTTTTTAATCAGGTGTGATTGTTTTGGTACGTAATTATGCCTGTATATAAGTTAAAACGAAACTATTTGAGGTTCCATTTCCACTATCCCTTTAAGCTAACAGCGTCAGGACGTGTGTGTGTGTGTGTGTGTGTGTGAGTGTGGTGTGTGTGTGTGTGTGTGTGTGTGTGTGTGTGTGTGAGTGTGGTGTGGTGTGTGTGTGTGTGGTGTGTGTGTGTGTGTGTGTGTGTGTGGTGTGTGTGTGTGTGTGTGTGTGTGTGTGTGTGTGTGTGTGTGTGTGTGTGTGTGTGTGTGTGTGTGTGTGTGTGTGTGTGTGTGTGTGTGTGTGTGTGTTGTGTGTGTGTGTGTGTGGTGTGGTGTGTGTGTGTGTGTGTGTGTGTGTGTGTGTGTGGTTACGAAAGGAGAGAGGGATGGTTTGGCTCCATCAGTGGAGAAGAGTTGCAGGAGAAGTATTTATTCGGCCGTCACTGACCAAGATACATCCGAGACATCGTTTGTATCGTCTCTGCTGTAGGAAAAAGAATGCTAGTACAACTGTTATTATCCAAATGTTAGAGAGGAGGCCAGATTCCCTGCTGTCCCGCAGACAACATATCAATGTTTGTCCAATGGATCCAGAGAAAGAAATCAAACCTGTGAAGAGTTTAAAGAGCGATGTGTAGTTTTACATTTTTTAATTCAGCCACAGCAGTAACGTAACTTCATTTTTTATTGACTTAGTTCTCGTCGTGTACATGATTGTTAATCCTGCCTTAAATAAGTGTATTTCTTTGGAAGAGAGAGATGTTTTCTATGACATTAAAAGTGTTTTTTGTTCGGTGGATGTGTGTGTTTTCACATTCACAGGGGTAGAATGAGATGAATGTTTGTTGATGCATTTGTATTTGTATCAACACTTTTAGGGACTGCTGTAACCTGTAACCTGTAACCTGTAACCTGTGACCTGTGACCTGTAACCCCTCTCACGGGACACAAAACAAAAAAAATACAAAAAGACAAATAAATAAATATCTCACATCTTCTTGCTTTCCTTTGATGTTGTTTGTCACAGCTTGGTGTTTATGGCTTACAATAAAAAAAAAAACAATTAAACAAATAAAATAAGAATAATAAGAATAATAATTGAAACGGTTTGAGCTTTGAATCATACAAAGGATTAAAAAAAAACATAAAATGTTGCTTAAATTCACTGGCTGGCTTTTTATTTAAAATATAATATATACTGAAATACAAATTAATAAACAAATTGACTGTTTTAAAAAATAAACATACGAATTCATACAGATTGTAAAAATGTTCTATAATAACTTTTTTGCTTATCATAATTATAATAATAAAAATACAGTGTTTAAAGATGATTTGCAAATAAAAGATAACAACAAAAAATCAATAAAGAAAATAATTAATAAATATGAATTATTTCATATTATATTTGTTTCTATTATATAACAAATATATATATATATATAATGATATTAAGAATACACATTGTGAAGATGCTTTACAAGCAAATACAAAACATAATAATGAAAAGATAAATGACTAATAAATAAATAATGTGAAATGACCTTTACTTACCAGCAGGTGTCTCTACACAACACTCAGCACTATTTACTTTGACATTTGTCACCAGCAAATATAAACAAATATGCAATATAACACCCTTTATCAAGCTGTTTAGTGCAGCATCAGTCTGCTGTTGTATATTAAACCTTGTTAGTATTTTCTTTTTTCTTCTTTGATGTTATATTTATTCTCAAGTTCTCCCCCCTCCTCTTCTTTACACCATGAGCACCCAAGCGACTGATGTGATTCCTAATTAATCAATTAGCAGCACTGTTATGCATGAGAAAAAAAACTCCACACATTATTAATATTTTTTTAATTAAGTCTGACTCGAGCCTTTTGATCTGCTCACTATCTCTGCCCCGCTGGTATCAGGAAAACACCAACGCTTCATCACAATCCCAGAGGAAGATTAGTGTCAACATAGTTTGAAGCCCACTTTTTCTTTCTATTTAAAATAAATGAATGTAGATTATAAAAACATGATGACATACAGAGACACAGCCACACATTTACTCTGTGGTGAGCTAATGCAGTGCTTCATATTTCCATGTGATTAATTCAGATGAGTTAAGTGGGCTGAGCTGTCCACTGGCCCGTGGCAGGAATCACAACGCTGAGCTGAAACAGATCGCCTCTTGGCCTCAAATGAAAGGCCATGGTGGATAAAAGGAGCATACACTGCAACATGTCCTCTTTATTCATAGAAACATATTTCTTCAACAACTCGACCAAGGAGGTAACTTATAAAATGACTTATACCACTGTCATTTCACTAAGTGTTTTTTTAGTAAGAAGTGAGGATGACTACAAATAATCTCTCATAAGATGTAATAGAAGTATTTGCATAGAGGGAATTACATTTTCTTTGTGCGTGTTTTTCACATTTTCTTGAAAAGTTAATCATTGGTTTCGGTTAAAGGTCCCATGTCATGGCCATTTCTATTGATCATAATTCCATTGTTGAGGTCTACTAGAATAGATTTATATTGTGCAATGTTCCAAACTCACATTGGTTTCTCATACAGCATCTCTGTATAGTATGTGTATTCACTCTCTGTCCTAAACGGCTTGTTGGAGCTCCTGCCCCCCCTCCCTATGAGCCCACTGTGCTCTGATTGGTCAGTTCGCCCACTCTGTTCTGATGAGTCCACCACCGTTACAGCTGAACATCAGTGTTTATGTGTTACAATGGCGTTTGTAACCAGAAAATGACACCAGTAATGAGAAACAGATGAGAATGCTGCGTGGGGTCTAGGTGCCGTGTTGGCGGGACGTTGCGGGGCTCGAGGAGTGGACAGTGTGAGCTGGATTACTGGTGTCGTTTCCTGGTTGCTGCGTGGGGTTTGCATGCCATGCAAGCAGACACCGCGGAGCTCAGCCTGAGCACCGCGGTGTCCCGCAGGCACGGCACTTGATCTATATCCAGCATCCAGGGAAACACAGAGGGAAATCCATCTCACACTGTCCGCTCTAGGACTCCTGAGCTGCTCGGGAGTCCACCCTAGCAGAGGGTGTGCCTATTGTTCTATAGCTGTGTGCAAATTGGTCCATTTGGACTTAGTGACGTCAATAGGCCCCGGAAGAAAAAAATGGAAAAAGAGAAATCTCCAACGAGGCGTTCTGGGGCAGCATAGACACGTCTTTTTTGTGTTAGAGTTTTACTCGCTACAGGGTGTACTTTGAGGGTTTGTGACTTTGCAGACCGTTCACATGCAGAAAAAGCTACATAACACACAAGGGGACGGGTAATAACCAGAAAAGCATATGATGGGACCTTTAAGAAGCTCATTTACATATTTCGTCATTAAAATTAATTGTTCCAAACATCACAAGATTATTATCTTGTGATGTTTACTTTACATTACTTTCTAATGCAATGCATTACAATCCATCCATCCATGCATCTTCATCTGCTTCTCTGGAGTCAGGTGGCGGGGGAGAAGTTCCAGCAGAGGATCCCAAACTTCCCTTTCCCTGGCAACATCATCCAGCTCTGACTGGGGGATTCCAAGGTGCTCTCAGGCCAGCGTGGAGATGTAATCCCTCCACCTGGTCCTAGGTCTACCCCATGGCCCACTCCCAGCTGGACGTGCCAGGAACCACCTTAGGCCCTTACACACCGGGCCGATTTTCGGCATTGATAGATGTCGATAGATGTCAATAGATGTCTGGCCGTCGATGAGCGTCCTGTTGCCCTACTCAGATTGGTTGTTGCCTCTTTTGAATGATGAATACACACTACCGCCGCCTGCTGGTAAGGAGAGTTATTGCCACTCACTAGTGATGGGAATTCCGGCTCTTCTTGGTGAGCCGGATCTCACCGACCTCACCAAGAAGAGCCGGCTCTTTCGGCTCCCAAACGGCTCTTCAGTTTACCACTTATTATACCTTTTAATTAAATCAAATGTAGCCCTGTTTTGACTAATGATTTATATGTGTACACATATATCACTTAAATTATTCAATACATCCTTTGTACTGAAGTATTCAAAAGTAAAAATTACATGTTTAATATAAATGATTTGCTGTGGCCAATTGTTTTCATTGCATTTACAGACCCGTGCAACTCTCTGATACCACCCAATGAATGCATTGACTTGCTTGTAGAACCACGCTACACAAAACAGATAGCAACACCTATAAAAACTATTTTAAAAAATGGGCTACTGTATCGAAGGAGTGGCAGACCGGGGTGGTGGTTCCCCTTTTTAAAAAGGGGGATCAGAGGGTGTGTGCCAATTACAGAGGCATCACACTACTCAGCCTCCCCGGGAAAGTTTACTCTAAGGTACTCGAAAGGAGGGTCAGGCCGATTGTCGAACCTCAGATTGAGGAGGAACAATGCGGATTCCGTCCTGGTCGTGGAACAACGGATCAGCTTTTTACTCTCGCAAGGATCCTGGAGGGGGCCTGGGAGTACGCTTATCCGGTCTACATGTGTTTTGTAGACTTGGAGAAGGCGTATGACCGAGTTCCCAGGGAGTTACTGTGGGAGGGGCTGCGGGAGTATGGGGTGAGGGGGTCTCTACTCAGGGCCATCCAATCTCT